TTTTAAACAAGGATGTTCAAATATCTTATAAAGAACAAGTAAAAAGTAAAATTGAATCCAAAGTTCAAACCAAAGTAATATGAAAATATTTAAACAGCATTACAAAATCCTTGTAGTTTACACCATAGTGCCATTTAAAAGGTATGTTTTTATATAAATACCCAAATTTAAGAAGCATTATTTCCATTACTAATTAAGTGGAAGGATAAGTCCAAAAAACTTTCAACTGTTTGTCTTTCTTGGCCTTTACTGGATCCCTAAAGCATTTAAGGAAGACGTTCCAAAAAATTTGAAAAGCTAAGTATTTCCAGTGATCTCCCATTTTTCTTTCATGATTCATACGTTATTCATTATGAAGTAGGAACTTTGCTTTCCCGCTATTAAGGCAGCTATTATATTTTTACTTAGCCCGAGAAGTAGGTATTGTCTCATATCTAGGCAATACTTTCCAAATAAAGCATAATCTTACTCTCTCATAAAGATCTAGTAATCAAAGTTCTTTTGCCTTATAGTCACACAGTTAAAGGCTTTAGTAAAATAGTACAAAATCTTCCTTTTTCTAAATACTGACATTCCAAGTCTACCATAAAACATTTTAAGGAGCCAAGCAGAACAAAATCAGTATGGTCATTCAAAAAAAAAACAAAAAATAAAAAACAAAAACAAAAAAACTTGAATGTACATCCCATCTCTCAAAAAATAGCTATAAAGTTCAGCTTTCAAATATGACAGATACTGCAAAATATTTTCTTTTTACCACCATAGCAATGAGAATCTCATCAATAAATCTGTTCAAATATAAGACATGAAAACAGTGAATTTTGTGGTGTTACTGCACACCACCTCCCCCCTCCCAACTTACACACATCACAGTCATGCAAACTGAATATACCTTCACAAGAAAGCTTCGGAGCAACATTTTCTAAAGACCCAGGATTAACCGATCATTTTGCTGTGTGAATTCATCTACACCCTAATGGTGATGACTCATCACGGAACAACGCTGCCAGATTAAAGTTCCTAAAATAACCTTCCTCTTGACCAAAACCCACTCAAAAGTCTTATTCCCCCACATTGTATTGAGATTACATCCAAAATTATCAGTGCTTTAGATGCACAAGTCTGAATTGTGTACATAAAAATTTCTAATACTGTTTCCAACATAAATTGTACATTAGAATCAAGTTGGTCTCCATATACAATTCCCAGAACAAAGAGTCACTCGTATTTTTAAGCATTTGCTTCTGTTTTTCCCTATGCTGAATGAGTTCCTATCTGTTTTTCAATTTTCCCCCCATTTGTCAAGGTTGACCCAAAGATGAGACTTTTTTCATTAAAACATCTGTGATGTCTTAAGGCCACAATTATTACCCCTATACTAGTTATTAACTCACCTGCTTCTTTTATTTTGGTAATTGATAGTCACTAACTATATACTACTTTCTCATTATTTTGTGTGCATGCCTCATTTCTCTGACTGAAAGCTCACTGAACACAACCAATATTCCCTTTATATTTTCAATGTGCCTAGCATAATAGTAGTGAGCACATCTGAATTGAATATGCAATGAAAAGTACAAAATAAAATTCGTTTAAACCAAGGGCTCTGTTTTATTTGGAAAAATAGAATCTTCATCACAATCTTGAATGAATCAATGGAAATGAATTATAACTTTATGTGGAAAATTAAATTTGGTAAAAAAGAGAGCAAAATGATGGGACTGACACCAGGAAAAGCAGTCAGAGGATACATTTCTTAAGTTTCCAGGTGCATCCCTATGTTCTTTACCTAACTGAACTTAAAGAGGAAAAAAATACCATAAAATAACATAACTTTTAGAGAATTCAAAAGCCTGTGGTTTACATAAAATAATAATTAGGAAAGAGCACTGGTAAAAGGTCTGAATTACAGAATTATCTTTGAAAGACAATTTCAGACTTCCAGATAAGAAGATATGAGCAGGGGTAACTGACAACCTTATATATACCCTTAGGTCACAAATAAGATAAAAGAATGATAGTAAAATTCCACTGACCCCATTATCTTAAAGAAATAGTATTCATTCTTGACACTGATAAGTAAAGAAATTAAGGTTTAAAATTAAAAATGTTTTACCCTTACAAACACTCTGAAAATAAAGAAGCCATGCACCAGTACAGAGACATCCTGTGTTCTTGGGCTGGAAGACCAAACAGTTACTAGGTCAGCACCACCCAAAGCAATCCACACACTCAACGCAGTCCCTATCCAAGTCCCAATTACATTTATTGAAGAAAGAGAAAAACCCACTCTAAAATTCATATGGAATCTCAAAGGACTCCAAATAGGCAACAGAAATTAGAAAAGATGAATAAAATTGGGGAACTCACACTTTTCTCATTTCAAAAGTGAATTACAAAGCTATAGTAATCGAAAGTACGGTATCAGCGTGCAGGAACATATGTAACAACAGAAGAGTACATGGAACCTAGAAACAAACCTTTGCATAGACAGTCAAATGATTTTCAACAAAGGTGCCCAAGACCTTGGAAAACTGGATATCCACATGCAAAAGAATATAGATGGACCCTTCGCTTACAGTGTATGCAAAAGTTATCTCAAGTTGGATCAGACACCTAAGTTTAACTATGAAACTCTTAGTAGAAAAAAAGAGGAAAATCTTTATGACATTGAATTTGACAATGATTTCTTGGATATGACATCAAAAGCACAGACAATGATGAAATAGATAAAATGGATGTTGCTGAAGGTAAAAACTTCTGGGCATCAAAGGACACTATCAAACAAATGAAAAGACAAGCCAAAAAATGGGGGGAAATATTTGCCAATTATATACTTGATAAAAGATTAATATCTAGGGGTGCCTGGGTGGCTCAGTGGGTTAAAGCCTCTGTCTTCAGCTCAGGTCATGATCCCAGGGTCTGGGGATCGAGCCCCCTGTCGGGCTCTCTGCTCAGCAGGGAGCCTGCTTCCCTTCCTTTCTCTGCCTGCCTCTCTGCCTACTTGTGATCTGTCAAATAAATAAATAAAATCTTTAAAAAAAAAAGATTAATATCTAGAATATATCTTTAAAAACTCCTATAACCCAACAAGAAAAAAACAACCCAATTCAAAAATGGGCAAAGGATTTAAATAGACATCTCTGCAAAGAAGATACATGAATGGTCAATATGCACACGAAAAGATGTTCAACATACTAATCATTAGGTAAATGCAAATCAAAACCACAATGAAAATACTACTTCACACCCATTAGGCTGGCTATGATCCAAGATCCAAAAAAATCAAAACAAAAAAAGACCCCCAAAGTTGGCAAGTATGTGGAGAAATTGGGAGCTTTGGCATTGTTGTTGGGAATGTAAAACGGTATACCCACTGCGGAAGAGAATATGGGGTGCTTCACAAAATTGGGCAGAAATACTATATGACCCAATGACTCCATTTACAAGTATATATGTACTAGAACTGAAAGCAGGGACTTGAACAGGTATTTGTACACCAATGTTCATAGAAGCATTGTTCACAACAGTCAAAAGATGGAAACAAAGCAAGTATCCGTCAACAGATGAATGGATAAACAAAATGAAGGCAACCCATTCAATGGAATATCATCCAGCCTTAAAAAGGAAGGAAATTCTTCACTGTGCAACACCTTGAGAATATTATGCTAAGTGAAATAAACCAAACGAAAAACTATTTGGTTTTATGATTCTGCTTTAATGAGATACCTAGAAATTCATAGAAACAGAAAATAGAATGGTGATCCCCAAGAGCTGGGGAAGGAGGTCATGAGAAGTTAATATTTAATGGGAACAGTTGCAGTTTGAGATGTAAACAAGTTCTGGAGATGAGTATCAGTGATGGCTGCATAACAGCATGACCAGCTCACAGAAGTACTGGATCCTCTACAGGATAAACACACCAATTATACTTCTACGCCCGCCTTAAAAGCACCTAGGGGCAAATCAACTTCGGAAATAGGACTAGAACTCAGAATTCCCACACCCTACCCAAAAGTATCAGTAAACCTCCATGTTCGATGGAGTTTTGCTACAACTACCCGCATTCTCCCGTTCATGACTGTATTTTACCAGTTGTGAAGCAAAGCCCTTTCACTGTTCTGGTGCAAGAGCACATGTCAGTGAGCAACAGTAAGAGAACTTCTCCAGGAACCACAGTGCAGGTACAGGCATGTTTCATTGTAAGGAAAGTTCTACGTCTGACAGATTTTATTAACTCAACCAAACAGAATGCAAATAATAACAGTAGTAGTGATAGCAGTAATAATAACAATAATAATAAGTCCAAACAAACAAGAGTTAGTACCAGTCATAAAAACAACAGTCAGGACCTGGGGTTAGCCTTTTGAGATACTATATCAACTCTTTCAAAACTGGATTTTGTGTGGACCACTGCTGTCAAAACTGCTACCATACAACTAAAAAGAATATGGGTGATTATAATGTAGCCCAATGTAATTCTAGCTATGCCAGAAAACAGAATAATAAGAAGTCTTTGAATGTTTCTGTTACCAGACTTAAGAGACATTATTATACCAGAATCAGGCTTTAATACTTAAAACTGAAATAGATGATAATTAAGAAACTCAAAATACAGAGTATGACTAGGAATTAAAGATTACAGTGCTAGGTGGTAAGCCCACTATGATAACACTCATTTTAGCATTTGTATTTTACTTCAAGTACCCCTGACAGATTAATTTTTCAAAATGTGTATAAGATAAATAAGAATATAACTATACCTCTTTCAAGGTATCTCCTAAAACAAATGACTCACTGGTTTGTACAAAAGCATTCCTCCTCATTTATTCCAAATAACTGCAAATTCCAGAAGTCAATGAAAATATTGTTTCAAAACTTTAAGGAAAAATGTTACATTAAATCCCCAAATTAATACCACCTTCACTTTTCGGATATGTTTAAATTTAAACCAGCCTGACTTTTTGAGTATGTTTAAATTTTAAAACTTCAGACCCTACCTTGAAGTGTTCAAATGTCCGTTTACGATATTCGCACCACTCCACAAAAAAGTGTAGGCTTCGGAAAAACATCAGCAGATCTCTTCTTTCTTCTGCTCTGTAGGAATAGAAGATTTTATGATTCATAAATGTCAGAAATGAGAGCCCCATCTTGGCATTTTTAATCATATTGCTTTTTATATACCCTAAAGCTAAAAAAAGTACTTGATACACTTCTATATTCTGAACTCTGAGTACGTGTCCCTGTGTGATTGCTAATGCTAATTTGCCCTTTGCCCTTTGCCCCATCTTAAAATGTTTAAATCCTAAACAAGGTACCTCTCAAATACCACTCTGTCCTTGAATTTGTATTTGATGACCATGGCATATAATAAAGACTATTTCTGGCACAGAGCTTCAAAAACCCTTGGAATTCCTGAGTGACCAGTGTGTGTCTCTTATGCTAATGAAGTGACACATGGTGGCCCCTCGATAGCCTAAGGATAGGGGCTGGTCACCACAAAGACTAACCACATGCTTAACAGGTTGGAACTTTGGGCCAACCAGACCTCCAGCAAGGACAGGGGGACTGGAGGAGTTTCATCACATGGCACCTGAAGTGGGCCACCTTGTTCAGGACTTTGCCCTTAACCTGTAGGTCTGCACTAAATCTGAGCAGTGTCAGGACTGAACTAATTGCAGGACATTCCGGGGGGTGTCAGAGATTATTCTCTGAACAGTGACCTCACCACCACACCACACGACCTATTCCAAAATGGCTAGAAATAATTTTTGTCCTATTGCCTATGAGCTCTCATGGAATTGATCTTAATGCTCTTAACGCTATGCCTATTGTTATATTGATACCCATAAAATAAGCAACTTGTAGGCAAGATGAGTGTATTCACTTAACCGGGCTTTCAATAAATGATTGTGGGAGTCGAGTTCCCATACTGGTCATCATGGAGTAATCATACTCCACCTCAACATTCCAAGTTAGAACATGGACATAACACACAAAGCAAATCCTGGAAGACTCTGAAACGTGGACAAGAGAAGGCAGGAATGGGTACAAAACTTCAGGAATTAAGGGAGGATTGGGTGATGAGTTCCTCGGGGTTTATTTTTGCCTCCCATAGATCCCAGTCTGGATGGTACACCACACTGCGACTCAGAACTGCCAAAGGTTGGAGTAAAAAAGAAAACAGACAAAAAAGGTCCCAAGCAAAGATCATTCCCTCCAGCCAGCAGGGGTTGTATAAAACAAAAGAGGAAGTACCCTGCTCTCCGTGATGAATTTTTGGATTTAACACCAAAAGCTAAGGCAGCAAAACCAAAAATAAACAAGGGATCACATCAAACTAAAAAGCATCTGCACACCAAAGGAAACCATCCACAAAATGAAAAGGCAGCCTACTGACTGGGAAAAAAATATTTGCAAATCATTTATCTGACTAGGGGTAGATAACCAAAATATATAAAGAACTCATAAAACTCGAATTGCTTCTCACAATCCCAGTGCAGCTTTCCACCCATGGGTCCTATCTCCATGTTTTAAATCACCTTTTTACACACACACACACACACACACACACACACACACACACCACACACACACCCTCATAAAACTCAATAGCAAGAAACTATGATCACATTAAAAAATGGACAGAGGACCTGAATAGACGTTTTTCCAGAGAAGACACACAAAAAGAGGCTCAACATCACATCTGGAGAAATGGAAGTCAAAACCACAACAAGAGATCACCTTACACCTACCAGAACAGCTAGTATAAGACAAGAACCAACTGGTGTTGGTGAGGATGTGGAGAAAAAGAAACCCGCATGCACTGTTGGTGGACATGCAAACTGGTGCAATTAATAGGAATATAAATTGGTGTACTGTGTAAAAGAGTATGGAGGTTCCTCAAAAAATTAAAACTAGAACTACCACATGACCCAGCAATTCTACTTCTGGGCATCTATCCAATAGAACTGAAAATACTAACTCAAAAAGTTAGCTGCACTTCCATGTTCACAGCAGCATTATTTACAATAGCCAAGACATGGAAACAATGTAACTGCCCACCAATGAAAGGAGAGATAAAGAAATTCTGGTATCTAAACACAATGGAATATTATTCAGCCATAAATAAGAAGGTAATCCTGTCATTTGCAAGAGCATGATCAATCCTTAAGGACATTATGCCAAGGGAAATAAATCACACAGAAAAAGACAAATACTATATGATTTCACTTACATGTGAGATCTGAAAGAAACAAATTCACAGATTTATGGAATAGATTGGTGGTTGCCAGAGGGGATGGGTGGGGAGTGGACAAATGAGTGAAGGTGGTCAAAAGGTAAAAACTTCCAGTTATAAAATAAATGAGGGGCACCTGAGTGGCTCAGGGGCTTAAGCCTCTGCCTTCAGCTCGGGTCATGGTCTCAGGGTCCTGGGATCAAGCCCCGCATCATCGGGCTCTCTGCTCTGCAGGGGGCCTGCTTCCCCCTCTCTCTCTGCCTGCCTCTCTGCCTACTTGTGATCTCTCTCTCTCTGTCAAATAAATACAAAAAAATAAAAAATAAATAAAAAATAAATGAGCCTTGGTGATCCAATATACAGCATGGTGACTACAGTTAACATTACCATATATTTGGAAGTTGCTAAGAGTGTAAATGTTAAAAGTTCTCTTCAGAAAAAAAACTGTAAATACACGTGGTGATAGATGTTAATCACTTTTTGCAATGATCATTTTACAATATATACATATACCGAATCATTATGCTGTACACCTGAAATGAAGATAGTGTTTTATGTCAACTAAATCTCAGTTTTAAAAAAATTCAAAGTTTGAAATCATGCAATTTAATCCAATGAACATAATGTTTGTAAGTTTGCTCTGTGATTTATTACTTAGCAGTGTAAGTTTTCAAACATTAGGGAATAAAATTTTTGAAGCGGCTGAAGAAGGCATGCGGAACAGAAGCCTAACGCCCAAGAGGAGCTGAGCCCTCTTCCTCCCAACCAGGCAACCGGCTGTGCTGACAGGAAGCAAAGCCAGCAAAGAAGCAGGAATCATGCTGCTGTTGGGAGACTGTGGGAAGACCTTTGTCAACTAGCCCCACCCAACACCAAGCAAAATGAGACACGAGGCGGTGCCATTCCCACTCCTCACCAGAATGGCTCCTGCAAACACAGGAAGCCTCTTTGTCAACTTTCTCCTTCCTACACGAAGTGACCCCAAGCACACAGTGGGGAGAATCAGGCAGAACGAATTTGGGAAAGGGATCCTTTATATTTATGTATGAAGTCCTGAACAAAGTGGCCCTCACACAAAGCTGACCAGAAACAATAAAGCAAAAATATCAAGAACTGAATTACGGTGTAGAATACTGTCCAGAATTCAGAGTGGCCTTAGGGCAGTGGATAAGAAATCAAAATACAGCCCATAAACTATAACATCCCCTAAACTATAGCCCATAAAAGAATGTGCTTTTGAATAAAAGCATGTTGACAAGGACAACTGCAAAAATGGCATAGGGGTTATGGGGACAGTCTTTCCTTAGAAACACCAAAAACTACCACATGCCTGTCAGAATCACACTTAATAGGAAATTGGGAAGCCAGTAAAATGTTTACAGCAATCCAGCCAACACATAACCAGGAGAAGGGCCACTGAGCAGAGAAGGAAAATGTTGTAGTTTTTTAGCTTCTGCTAGCCATGTCCACCACCTGAGCACAGTGGGTCTTTAAGATCACATTCTGCTTTCTCAGTGGAACCCCATTCTGACCACAGTAGACTGGATCTTGTTCCCAAAGAACTGTGTTTCTTTTGTATTCCCAACTGAGCTCCGTTTGTTATGTTCTGTCTGTAGGATCCCTAAGGACTAATGGAAGGGGCCTATTTTCCACGTAACTCATAACTTTCTTGAACACATGACTATGCAGAGGTTATTTCTCAAAGATAGAGAGTCAAATGAATAAGCCAGTGCCAACTGGCACAAAATAACAATTCCGAGAAAAAACAGACATGTTGAAAGCCAAGGGAGGAAAAGGTATAGAGTGAGAATCTTTAGAAAATAGCTTGAAAGGAGTCCATATAAGAAGGAACTGGAAAACCATGTGAATGTATAGGGCAGGAAGTATGCTCAGAGAAGACCTGAGAAGACCACACACTTTCACCTCTGGCTGATGTTTAGGCTAAAGGCAAGCAGGGCAGGGAGGCAAAGGCAGTGCGGAAAGGCCTTGCTAAGTGCAAAAGGAATGTCCAATATGCAGCCAAAACACAGAGACAAGAGATAAAATATTTTTGCTTTCGCTGTTTTTTCTTTTTGTGCATAATATTCAAAATGTCCATACTCAACAACCACCACAAGAAATTAAGCATGCAGGGCGCCTGGGTGGCTCAGTGGGTTAAAGCCTCTGCCTTCAGCTCAGGTCATGATCTCAGGGTCCTGGGATGGAGTCCCACATCGGGCTCTCTGCTCAGCAGGGAGCCTGCTTCCTCCTCTCTCTGCTTTCCTCTCTGCCTACTTGTGATCTGTCTCTGTTAAAGAAATAAATAAAATCTTAAAAAAAAAAGAAAGAAAGAAATTAAGCATGCAAAGAAAAAATATAAAATGACCCAGATACAAGAAGGAAAAGGTTAACAGAAACTGTCCTCAAGGAAACAATGGAACTACTACTACAGACTTTAAGTCAGTGTGTCTGAAATATGTTCAAAGAACTCAAGGAAACCAAGAAAATAATATGTATGATAAGGAATACTAATAAAGACACATTAGAAAAAGGAAACACAGGGGCGCCTGGGTGGCTCAGTGGGTTAAGCCGCTGCCTTCAGTTCAGGTCATGATCTCGAAGTCCTGGGATCGAGCCCTGCATCGGGCTCTCTGCTCAGCGGGGAGCCTGCTTCCTCCTCTCTCTCTGCCTGCCTCTCTGCCTGCTTGTGATCTCTCTGTCAAATAAATAAATAAAATCTTTAAAAAAAAAAAAGGAAACACAGAAATTTTGGAACCAAAAATTATAAAACTTGAAATGAAAAAGTCACTGAAGTGTTCGACAGATTTGAGCAGGCAGAATAATCTCCAAAAATGAACATATAGGCTGAGTGAAATTATCCACTCTAAAAAACAGGAAGAAAAAGAATGAAGAAAAATACATGGAGTCTAAAAAACTATAGGATACCATCAAGTGTACCAACACCCATACAGCTGGAGTCACAGGAGAGCTGCAGGAGAAAGAAGTTGAAAGTGTATCTCAAGAAATAATGGTCCAATCCTCTCCGAATTGGATGAAAACTTTAGCACATCTGAGAAGCTCACAAACTATAAGGATGAACTCAAAGAGCTGTACACTGAGGCACGTTGTACTCAAACTATCAACACCAAAGACAGAATGACAAGAAAGCAACTCATCAGATAAGGAATCATAAGTAAAATTATTCACTGATTTATCAACAACCATGGAAGCGAGAAGGCACTGAAAAGACATTAACGTGCTAAAAGAGAAAGAGTTAACCAAAAATTCTATGTCAAAACTATCCTTTAAGAATAAGGATAAATCAAGACATTTTCATACTAAAAAGCTGAGGGAGTTCATGATTAATATACCTGACCTACAAGAAATGTTAAGGGAGGGATACCTGGGTGGCTCGGTCGGTTAAGCCGCTGCCTTCGGCTCAGGTCATGATCCTGGGGTCGTGGGATCGAGTCCCATGTTGGGTTCCTTGCTTGGAAAGGAGCCTGCTTCTCTCTCTGCCTCTGCCTGCTTGTGCATGCTCGCTCGCTCTCTCTCTCTCCCCACCGTGACAAATAAATAAATAAATAAATAAAATCTTAAAAAAAAAAAAAAAAGAAAGAAAGAAATGTTAAGGGAATCCTTTAGGCTACAGTGAGAGAATACTGTAGAGTAACTCAAAGTCTTATGGAGAAATAACGAGCACTGGTTACACAGGTAAATAA